CATACTGGTTGGACCAGCAAAAAAAAAAAAGTATTAACTTAGTGGGTTAGTTTCACTAAAATGAACTCTAAATACATGCAGAGAGTATTTTATGTACATGGAGGAAAATGGGCTGTTCTGGTGTTTAAGAAACTATAATTTTAGCCTAAAGTTCCACATTTCTGTATATTGATACAGTTGGCTTCAATGTGCAGACATGAAAGGCCTCCTTTGTTTCTTTGGGAAACAGAACTGAAACCCAGATATATTTGCTCATCCACCTCGTTCCTGCTGCTGAGCCAACTGGCTAATTTTAACTGTAGACAGTGCACAGGATGTCTCAAAAATGGTATTTGTGGCTATGCTGTATCCCAGTGATGGGTAATTGCTCCTGCAGCAGCTGGGCAGAGGAGATTCCTGCACTGAGTTTCCTCTCCTCCTGTCCCACCCAGGGAGGATTGAGAAGGCTGAGTGCAGGGTGGGCTGGGAGGTCCTGTTTGGAGGGCATGAGTCCAGGAGTGTGCTTGCAGGCTGCCCCCCAAGTCCTCAGCACTGCTGCCCACCCTGCCAGTGCCCTGCACTGCTGCTGTGCTCTGCCACTCCCTTCAGGGCTCCTTCCTGAGATTCGACAGACCAGGAGTTAAAATGCAGTAATATGCAGGATTTAATTACAAAATAATGAGTGGGATAATTTGGGAGAGTGATGTTTGCTAAGCTGTTACTTACAGGAAAAAAAAGTTGCTGTTGTTTTCCATGGGCCTGCAAAGCACAACATTGAAGAAAATATTCATAGTTTATTCATTCATGCAAAATTTAAAGTGAATTTTATGCAGACCTTTCTTTACTGGGAATAATAGCATTTATTCAGCTTCTCAACATGTCAATGGAACTGAAAAGATGATCTTGTTTCACAGCAGAAATTTCAAGTTGTTTATTGTCAGTAAAAAATACAGGGTCTTTCACAACAGAATCTTAATTTGTTTTCACAATAACTGATCTTTTTTTTTTTAAAGCAAGGAATACCTTCTTTACACTGCTATAGATTAGAACCACTCTTAGCAAGATTTCCTAGTATTTTTAAAAATTGATTATTATTTAATTGTAGTGGTATTAGAAAACTGGCTGGCAGCTAAGTCTGTGTATCTTCAGCCATGTACAGTGAGGTGTGCACAGAGCCAGATTCCTCCATTATTTAATCTGTGGCAGAATATTACTGGAGGGACTTGGGAAGCCTTTGTATGTCATCGTGACTCTCTCCTTTTTCAGTATATTGCCTTGAAACACCTGATGTCCCACTTTGGCTTTGTAATAAACATACAAACTCCCACATAAACAACTGTGGGAGTTGACATAATAACTTGAAGGGATAGATGGTCTTGTCTTGGCTTTGGTTTGAGAGCAGTGACCCATGCTGTGAAGAAGTTCAAGGCTTCCCAACCCCATGGACTGTATCTGGACTATACTGCAGCTGATCTGCTTCATTAGCTGGAGTATCTCCATGTGGATCTTGGTTCTGCCAACTCCTGCTTGGGAGTTGTTCTCACTGAGGTCTGGTGGGCTGTTGCTAATAAAGAGAAAACTTTGGATGATCATTTCAGAACTGGCCTGTGACAGTGGGTACCCCTAGAAAAAAAAATACCTGAAAAAATGCTGAAGGCTGATGTTACTGTAGCAGGACAGCAGTGGATGTTTGCAGCAATGGAAGTTTTGTGACCTTTTTGCATGCAATTGTTACATGTTTCTGTACTGTGGTAAAGTTTGCACATTTAGAAGAAAAGTCAGTGGATAATACATATTTTGAAATAATTTGAAGATACGTTGAATAAAAACACTGCAAAGTGTTTCTTGTGTACTCAGACCGTGAAGAGATGACAGAGCTGTTATGTTTTTGTTCAACAGGCTGGAACATACTTGCCTCAATCCTATTTGATTCATGAGCAGATGATTGTTACTGATCGCATTGAAAATGTGGATCAGCTGGGATTCTTTATTTACCGCCTCTGCCGCGGCAAGGAAACCTACAAACTACAGCGCAAGGAAGCCATGAAAGGTAAATGCTACTCCCGCAGTCTGGTGTGTTGGCAAAAGCTTCAGTGACACCTGTGTTCAAAGATTGCACTGACCGGCTCTGTGGGCCTCAGTGTGTCTGATATTTTCTTGTGTAGGTGTGGAAATATGTCGTGTCATGGTGCAAAAGTGCTCAAGTTCCCCATGACCTAGGAGTGCCGAAATGTCTGTGTTTGTGTGCATGGGTGTATTTTGTGGACCCCAGGCTTTCATTGATGCTGTTCTTCAATCTTGAACCCTAAACCACCCACCCCAAACCAAAGAAAAATCTTAGATATAGGAGAAGCTTTAACCTTACAGTCCAAGTACAGAATTGCAGGGTTTTTTTGTCATTAAAACTATTAATACATTGTTACATGTCCACATGTTATGGACAGGCTTACAAAGAAAACTTTTAAGTAATAAAAAAGGAGGCCAGTTAATTAAACACTAGTAAGACTGTTTATTACAAACTGAACAACTGGAAGCAAAAGCCTCCAGCTAGTCCGGAGACTGTTTCAACAACTTAGTAAGTGTAACCTAGGGGTGTTTCCAAGGAAACCAGCTCCAAGGAAAGACCCCGGGCCTTTTAAAGCCTCTCTCTTGTCTCCTGACTGGGGCGCTCAGGATCCGTGCTGTGATAGGTCTATTTCTCTGTCGCTGATTAGCCCATAAGTTAGTGCAATCTCGGCCAATTGTTTTGGGATTCTCGCCTCCTATTGGTTGGTCTCGCTTCCAATCTTGATCCAAGCTGTGGCTGTGCTCCACGATGCTATACTTCTGGAAGCTTCTCTGCCCCCTCCACAAAGATTGGCATCTCCTACCCCAGTTCCACTCCCCTTTTATGCATGCACAACAGTACTGAGTTTTAACATAACTAACATTACTTGCACCCACAACACCTAGCCCTGTACGTACACTGTTAACTACATTTCCAATCACAACCTGGTACTTGTATCAACAACATCCAACCTCATACATACATTGTTAACAACATTTCTAATTACAAGTTGTTACTTGTACCAACAACATTTAACCTTGTATATATGTTGCAAACTATGTTCCCCAGAAGCTTAAATTTTATTCTTTTGTTCATAACAACATGTCTTCCTATTTGTGTCAGTGAAATGTCAATGAGAGCTTGTCTTCACAGGAAAATTATAGTGCTTGGTACATTTTTGTGGAAAAATGGCTGAAAAGCATTATTTGGAAGAGTCTTGAAGAGCTATTAAATACTGCCTTAAAATTTGCATTCAGATGTTACTTGCATTTGCTTTTTGGTTTGGTTTTTTTGCTTTTATGGTTGTTTGATTTCTTTTTGTTGTCTAATCTGCATATGGTGTGCAAGTGCACACCAAAGCATTTTAATTGCTTCTGTCATATTTTGAAACCTGGCTGCTTAGGAAAACAAAACGAAGAAATATAATTTATAAAATCAATTTAGGTTGATGTTTGAAAATGAAAAAGTTTTAATAGCAAAATCTAATTGAAAACTCAGTATGTTTATCTTGTAGTAATAAATGTCCCCTGCAAGCATTTTTACAGATGCACAGAGAGAGTGACTGGGAACTGATCTGAGTTAAAAACAGCCAGTGGGAGGGTTTTAGCAGGTTGGTTTTCACTGAACCAGTACTGGAATTTGGTTCACCACACTTTCAGGATCATTCCCTACTAATTGATTTTCTGTGTCTGAATGTGTGTCTGTTTTGTTGGAGGGGTGGGTTGGATAGGAGTAGTTCTGATTTCTGGTGACATCTTATCATAGCAAATGTAAAACTTCTGTCTCTGATGTACCTCAGCCCTTCTTCTCTTGACACTTTTGTTCTTTACCAATACAACAGGAATTCAGAAGCGTGAAGCCATCAACTGCCGAAAGATTCGACACTTTGAGAACAAGTTTGCTATGGAAACACTCATCTGTGAACAGTAATGAGGAATAGTACTGTTACAGGAGATTTTAAAAGTACAGTATGACCCCACCCTTTGTATTGTGTGCAGTGATTATTTTTTAAGATCTTCTTTTATGTAAGTAGTGGACAGGGCTTTCTTGCTGAACACATCTTCCATACTTCTCATCTCATGATACATGTAAAATCAATACATTTTAGTTTTCTCCTTATTTTCAGGTGTGGTGTTCTTCTTATATTTGAATAGGAATTGTATAAAGACTTAGTTGCTAGTGCATTTCTGTGAATCACAAATACTAGGAAGAAGAAGAAATCTTTGAAATATCCACCCGTTTTTAAATAAGTAAAATTGAAAAAAATTATTAATGTACAAATGGACTGCAAGAGCTACTTCTAACTGTAATATTACCTGCTATATAGTTTGTTACAGCATATAGACAAACCTGTATTTGACTCTCCTAACCAAGTGCAATTTGTTTTGTTCTTAAAATATTGTCATATTTACCTTTTTGAGATTGATTTCTGACTTGATGTTTTAAAATGGCAAGTGTTTGCTGTAACAATCTTTTAGAAAATTAAGAAGTAACTTATGTTACTAACTTGTATATAATCCATGTATGTGCAATGGAAAATAAACCTTATAAACATGTTTGTCTAAAAGTCTTGTGTTTTCTTCTGGATTCCAGTTTACTACTGGATTACTTTAAAGAAGAGGGGACTACAGTTGCAATTAATGCATTTTACTTGAAGTGGTGTTTCTAAAGACAGAATAGATGGCTGAGAAATTAAATACGAACAGAGAAACATGGTTTTCTGTCCCTTTTCAATTAAAGACAATACTCTGCTGCTTGCTGAAATTCTAAATGTGTATTTCCACAATACATATGATCAGCGTGGAGACCCAAAGCTGATCTAACATGTTGTTAATGTCTGAAATCCCTGTCCTGCATATTTGTCAAATGATGGGCATCATCCAACATATGCCATGAGTCAGACTGACCCAGCTGAGCACCAGGAGTGTTCACTACCTGCAGGACTTTGCTGTTCCCTTTGTTCCCCATCATGGTGTTCCTGCCAGCCTGTGCCACTGAGCTGTGCCAAGTAATCTGGGACTTGCTCAATATCACCAATACCATTCTGTATCCTGCCATTTACACTTAAAACTGTTATTCTTAAAGCAAGATTGATTTTCCTCTTTTCTGATACAATTTGGATCCTTGTAATGCCAACTTTTCAAGGGGAGAGTGCAGAATATATAAGATGAATAAGATGTACTTGCTGTTTTGAAGCTGCTTGCAAGAAAAAATACAGGACAGAAAAAAAGGGAGTAACATTAAAAAAACTAAGTCTGAAAAATCTCCCCCCAGATCCACTTGAGAGCTTCCATGACATGGGAACTGACTTGTCTTCTGGCCAAATTTTGAGCATTGATTCATCAGAAAAGTACGAATGTTTACAGAATAATGGTATATTTGAAAAAATACCCTAAAACACTGTGTAATCTATTTTTAAATAATATACAACATAGGTGTCCAAATCATTCATCTTAGGTTAATTCAGTCAAGAGACTTTGTACTAATCTTATTTTTCATCTTTTAAAGGATCTTTTCTTAATACAGTAGGAGGATGCTTTACTGTTTTTGGAGATATTACACAATTGTAAACATGCTTTGATCCAGCTTCCTGCTATTGTGAATGTTTAGACTGAGATAAAGTAATTTGTTTTAAAGGAAGTTTGCTAAATACACAATACCTTTTTTTTAATTCATCTGCATGTGGCTTAATTTACTGATTGGTCCTGGTGTAAGTGCATTATATGTCAAATGGAAAGTACAACTGCTGTATTCTACAGCTGGACTTTTAAAATCCATTTTTGATGGTGCATGGCAATCATGAACATCAAATAAGGCCTCACATGCATACAGGCTAGATGTTAATGTATAAATTATATTTACACTGCTGCTCAATATATGTGCAAGCAAGCTGGAAAACTTGCTGGGAAAACTTTAGCTACAGACATTCGGGATGTTGCAATTGCGTGCTTGCAACAAAGGTCAAGTATATGTCAGCACAAGGTTGCTGGTGCATTCTTTGGAGCCCTGTATGATGCAAGATTTACGTTGAAGTACTTTTAAGGATGTTTCCTACCTTTTCAGGAGTGTTCTGTTCCTATTTTCACTAAGTTAAACATTAAACTTGTTAATCTCTAAGCAAGCTTCATCCAGTCTTTAACTTGTTTTCAAAATAAAACTAAGTAGCCAAACTTGATGATCTGTGGTGTGCCCTTTAATGGAGACACCAGCAAATGAGGCTGCTGAAGGAGTGGTGGAGCAGGGGGAGAAATAGATTTGTTCTTACAAGACGGGAGGTTTCTATGATCATGCTGTATGCCCATCCATAATAGCTTTTGAGCCTGTTGGAAGGAAATTTACTTAAATCAGCAGTGTGAAAATAAGTGTGGGGAAGGAGGGAGAGAAATTGTGTGCACCCAGGAAAAGCTCCCAGCATGAGCTTGTGTCTTATTAAATGCCAGGCAGTTTGTGTAGAAAGACAACCTAAAACACCTAGAGTGCAGCAAAAGCTCGTGTTAGAACTTCTGCCCTTTTAGACCAAGTCGATGAAGCATGGGAGACAGATCCATGGAAAGAAATAGCTCTTGGAGATGCTTGGGCTTTTTTCCTTTTTAAATAATAAAAGTATAATAAGTACAAGTATAATAATAGTTAAGAGTCTAATAAACAAAGATGGCTGTACTGCACTGAAGAAACCACATTTCCAGCGCAGCGAATTCCAGAAAAGGGTTAGTGTAAAAATGACCTCATTGGACAATTATCTTTGGAAATAGTTTTAGAACTCCTCATAAAAAACAAGATCAATCCTAACGCTGAGACATACTTTATTACTGAAACAGCAAAATCAGTATCCTGTGCCACCATGTTTAGTTGGTAGAGGGGGCTGTGTTGCTCCCTCGTGGATCCCAAAGAGCCTCTGATGTTGAGCTGGTCTTTGCATGAACAAAGTTGTTGTGACCAATCAATGTGATCCATGTAATCAGGCCTTGCAAAACACAATAAAAGCTCCAAGGCCTCTCTCCTCCAGCTAAAGTGTTGCAGCTTTAGTAAGGAGGCAAAGGGCAAGTCTTGACATGAAGAAAATCCTTTGGGCCTGCAAGACAGAAAATACAAGAGTTTGGTTACCTGATGTCTGTCTAGGTGCATACGTGCGTTTGCTCATATGGGTTGGGTGGGAGGATGCAGATGTGACACATCAGTGTTAGCAAAAACTTGTGGTTTAGAGACATCAGCAGAGCTGCACTCTCACTGACATTGCTTGTTCCAGTGGTAGGAGATTTTACTGCTATGGAGGAAGCAACATAGAAGAACCTATAGCACCGTTGTCACACCAGGAGTTTTTCTGGAATGCTATACACAAATGTTTTCACCTAATTAGGGTATTTCACTGCCATGGATTAGTAAACAATGTCTTTCTCTTAGACCCACTCATAGCAAAAAGAAATAAGATCATGGGTTAGTTTAGTTCAGAGAAATGCCTATACTCACTCACTACAGGCTACGGTTGCTAATTTTCAATTGGTTTTCAGGTTGTTGGTTACGATTAATTTGATTCCTAAGAACTACTTCCAGGGTGTGCATTCTGCTTCTTGTAGGCTTAGGAAATTTTGGAAGTGAAAGCATGGGAAACATCCTTGCTGGGGAGATGGCCAGCAGCAGGACACGGTGTTGCCTGTGCCAGAGCACACTTTCTCATGTGGTGAGAGGAAGCAGAACTTGGGACTTGAGAAGGATGGGAAGGGAGGGATTGTGGCAGGGTCCTTAATATGGCTGTGTAATTGCAACAAGAGGGCTGTGGCTTGCTTGCTGATAGTTATTTCATTACTAGTTGGCAGTACCAGCTGAATGAACCGCCCTGCAGAGGAGACACAGGATGCCTTCCCTGCACCCTCTTGGGGCACAGTGTACCCAGGGTTTGAAGTGCTTTGCCAGCCAAGGACAAAGGGTGGTACTTGTGTGACAAAGCACAGGATGTGATGCAGCGGTGCATGAAAAGGCATGATTTATACTGATATCCAGGAACTTTTGTAAGCGAGGAAAGCCATACCAGGAATGATCATTTTTGTCTGATGTAATTGCACTGTCACTTGGGCTTAGTCTGATAAATTGCATCAGTCAGCGATTTTATTTTGTAGTACCCTGGTTCTCAGCACTAGTGCAAATCTGTTAAAACAGACACAGCTCTGACAGCCATTCTCACAGAGAAAAAAAATGTGGAAGGTCTGTATAAGTAGTTATGATTCTTCTATAAAAAAATACAACTGAGTAAAAAGAGAAGAAAGTGACACTCAAATCTAAAAGCTTGATCAATGCAAAACCTCTCTGATTTCCAAGAAAAATAACTGGAAGTATCTGTGAAGGATTGAGGTTTTGCACATAGGCATCATTTAGATGTAGCCATTTCCCCATCCAGTAACAGCGGTGTCCTTTCAGATCCCACTGGCAGTTTGGTCAAATGCTTTATTAATAGAGATTCCTGCCTTAAACTTATCACTGCAGTCCTGAGAGTCCAGCAGTGCCCTGTGTAGTGCTCTGAGAAGAGCAAGCCACCGATGCCTGTAACTGTGGAGTGAAAAATATTATTTTTAATAATAATGTCAATGCATAGAAAGAGGCTTTGAATTTTTACAAGTGGCAACATCTGACAGATACCACTCATCTTAAAGAGAAACTGGTAGATGTTTGTTATGGTATCTATGGATTTTACCTCACTGTAGAAATATTAACTTACAGAAGTGGTTTTTATTCTTCATATCTCAGGATGTGTATTTGTGTAGGAAACAATGGCACAAGGGTCAGGCTCACCACCACCAAGAGGAACAACCAGACAGTTTCGCCCCATCTACCCAGTAAACCCTTTCCAGTTTCAAAGGCAGAGCTGATGCCAGGGGAGGTGATGCTGGGGAATGCAAAGGGCCTGTTCAAGCCATGGCCTGAATGTCCCTGAGGCTCCCCTGCAGCAAGACTGTCACTTGGGTCTGCCTGCTGCACCAGGTGCTTCTCCAGCAAGGCTCTTCTTAAGGCCTGGGGCCTGTAGGGCAGCAGCTGGTGAAAAGTTAGCCTGCACCTCCTTGCTCCTGTTAACACTCGTGCTGGGGCTTGAGAAGGACAGGTGGGCTCCAGGTGACACTGATGGCAGAGGGCTGGGGGCTGCTTAACAGTGCAAGGAATGTGAATGCACAGAAAAGGCTGGCCAGGAAAGCCTCTGTCCCCTCCCTGGTTAATTCTGCCTGTTACATGCAGGAAAATGGGTGTGATACATGCAGACATCTTTATAATCTTTGAGTTTTACAGCCTATGGGCTTTATTTGAGCAGAAAATCTGCCAATATTTAGTATTTGGACTTATATCCAGAAGCTCTCAATTTAGTGGGGTTTACGTTTTGGTCATAAAACTTCAGAAAACTGATTTTACTATAATTGAAATAATGGGTTTAATTCCAACTGGCAATTACCATGAAATACTTTTAAGTGAAAAAATTAGGATAATAAAATTACCTAAGGTTGTGTTTTGTTATGTAACAAGATTACCTAAGGCTGGAAACAATGAGTCAGGACTGCCTGACTGGACAATGCTTCACATATGTCCATGACCTATACTATAAAAGCAGTTGTAGTAAGATGCTTAGAATGAAGGTTTTGTCAGATCAGATGCAAAAATTATCATTAATACTTTATTTGACATTGCAGTGTTTCGTTTGCTTCTTTTGTGTTTCCCCAATAGGAGCTGATTCTTTTCTTTCCTTTGTAATTTTACTGAAAAGTCTAAAGGCTTCATTTAGAATATGTTTTAGAATACAGGATTAAAACTTTCAAATCAGTAAGTCTTAAAAGGAGAAGGGGAAAGAGGCGCAGCAACTTAAATATGGTTTTACACAAGGATGTGCCTTTCTTTGGAAGTACATACATGTTAACTCTTCTTACTGCAGTTTAGATGTAGTTACTATAGCCAACACTTTGGGATGGATTATTAAAGGTTATTTTTGCTTGATTCATCTGCTGCTCCCTTTGCCTCCTTCCAGCTATAACTTGAAGCATTCTGAGATTATATTTTGGTTTTACCTATTTATGGAGGGGAGCCCTCAGAGCCTTGCTTGATGAAAAAGTACCTAAAATTTGACATGACAAGGTGCTTGGTGCACTAACAATTTTTAAAAAATAATATTTACACTGAGGCTAGTTTGTGAACTTTATAAAAGGAGCAATGCACAGAGGGCCATGAGATAAATTTTTTGCCTGCCATCTGGACGATGCAGGGCCTGGCTGTAACAGCATGTTAAAGCAGCTGCGAGGGAAGCGACCCAGGAGGGTGTGTTTGTTTGTCTTGCTGACAGCTGGCATGGCCTCCACTGGCTGCGACCAAGTTTTCTGAGATGCTTTGCTCCCATTTTAAATTCTTTTGTGCTCTTAAAGCCAGTTGTGAAGAGAAGGCAATGGACTCAGCTGTGGTTTAGGGGTTCAGCTTACTTTTCCAAGCTGGTCTGTCTACTTGTCTGTGGTTCAGTGGTTGGTGACAGACAGTCCTACCCCAAACCTTCCACAGCATCTGGTACCATCTGAATACAAAAAGTATTTAAATGTGCTTAGAAGCAGGGTAAAGCTACTGCCACAATTTTACTAGAATCAGAATCAGGAATGTATAAATCCCACTACAGTCTACAACTCAAACATTTAATTTGGAGTTTATGTACTTTGATTTGTTCTGTATTCACTTTTCTGTAATTGGTTTAATTCTAATTATAAAGCAGAAAGCCAGACACTGTTCTCCTGTTTTAAGTTAAGAACCATAAAGGACAAGCCTGAACAAATTACTAGAATGTATGGTTGTAAAAATACTAGAGAATTTTAATTGTATAACATATTAATGCTCATGCTGATTTTTGTTTGGGATTTTCTTAAATCCATAGTTTTGACAGCGGTCTCACTAAAAGCAGTTGCTTTACAGGTGAGTGACAGATATGTGCAGGTAGTAAGAATACTTACATACAAATATTTTTCCTTTTCTAAGAAGTTGTCATCATACAAGTCTGAAAATAAACGTGCTTGTTTACAGCAGAGATTGGCCTTCTAATTGTGAGTGTGCAACTGCAGACAACAAAGCAGATTTCTAAGATCTTTGAATCAGAGCACTGGCGATTTGAATCTCGTTGACTTAAAATCCAGATGTCCACAACCTGAACTTTTTACATTAATGTAATTTTACCGCACAGTGTTAGAAGTAACATTTCAGTTAGGACTTGGATGAATGTCAGATTGAGACGTCACTGAATCACTGAATCATTTAGATTGAAGACCTCAGAAGACCTCTGAGATCATCAAGGCCATCCTTTGACTGGTCACCTACCACCTTCTCAGTGAGACTATGGCACCAAATGCCATCATGTCTAGTTATTTCTTGAACACCTTTTGGGATGGTGACTTCACTGCTGCCCACAGGGCAGCCCATTCCAATGTTTAACAATCCCTTCTATGATTAAATTCCTCTTGGTGTCCAACCTAAACCTCCCCTGGTGCAGTCTGAGGCCACAACCTCTTGTCCTGTCACTTGTTACCTGTGAGAAGATGCCAACCCTCACCTCACTACAGGCTTTGCTCAGGCAGTTGCAGAGAGCAGTAAGGCCTCCCAAGCCTCCTGTTTCCAGATTAAACACCCCCAGCTCCCTCAGCCACTCCTCACAGGACTTGTGCTCCGGACCCTTCCCTTCTCTGGACTTTCTTCTCGTGAGGAACTGGACACAGTTGAGTTATAGCTCCACCAGTGCCGAGCACAAGGGGACAATCCTTGCCCTGGTCCTGCTGGCCACACTGTTGCTGATGCAGGCCAGGATGCCATCGGCCTTCTTGGCCACCTGGGCACACTCCGGCTGACGTTCAGCTGCTGCCGACCAGCACCCCCAGCTCCTTCTACCCTGGGCCACCTCCCAGCCACTGCGCCACCAGCCTGCAGCGCTGCCCGTGGCTGCTGTGACCGAAGTGCAGCGCCGGCACTTGGTCTGGATGAACCAAAAGACCTAAAGGATCTGCAATTCTCGCTCCGCTCTGCACCTATACAGTTATTCCGTATAGTTATTCTTACACACCGGCCCGCGTTCCTTCCCAGCTCACGGAAAAGATGTATCGGCTGTGCTCCCTGAGTACCTGAAGTCTCAGGCACGGCGGGGCTGCCGTTCCTGTGGCGGCCGCGGGGCCCGGGCGGTTCTGCGAGGCCGAGCCGGGCCGCGCCGCCTCTGCCCCGGTCCCGCCCCGTTCCCGGGGCCGCGGGCGGGGCGGGGGCGCGGCCGCCGGCGCGGAAGTGACGGAAGTGGGGGTGACGCCGTTTTCCCGCGGTTCGGGCGGCGGGCGGGGGCAGCGGCTCCGGTCAGTGCTGCCCGCGGCGGGCGCTCCCGGCAGCCGCTCCCGCCATGCCGCCCAAGCCCCCGCGCAGGGCGGGCGCCGCCAGGACACAGCGACCCAGCCCCGACGGCGGCTCCGCGCCGCCCGCCGCCCCCCGGTAAGCGGCGCCCGGGCCGGCAGCGGGGCTCTCGGCGCCCCGCTGGAGGCGGGCGGGCCGCCCCGGGGCTCTCGGCGCCCGGCGGTCCGGGGCGTGGGGCGGTGTCACCCGGGGCGGCTCCGGCAGCCGGTGGCGTGGGTCTCGTGGTCGCCCCGCAGTCCCTGTTCCCGCTGGCGATGTGCGATGCTTTTCCTAGGGTCGAGGTCGGCGAAGCGGACTTCGTTGTGCTGTGTGACGCGCTGAAGGTGTCGGAGAGCGTGCGGGAGAGAGCGTGGAAGACGTACGAGAGCTTGTCGGCAGCGGATGGAGCTCTAGTGAGTAGCTGCTGCTCGGTCCGTCCTGTGCCCCAGCTCAGGTGCTGCGCCGTAACTTCGCCGCAGCCGCGGCCGGGGCTCCCACAGCCAAAGCTCACGTAGTGTGACTTTGCTTTTTTTCCAAGTGAAGGTAGACTGAAGTGGGGTGTTGCCATGTTCACGTCTGTGTAAACCAGCTTCTGTACATTGCCCTTTTTTGTTAATATTTTGTGATAAAAGTGCGTGCTCAGGAGTCCTTTTAGATTACTAACAAGTGGCAGTAGTAAATAGCACCATGTGATCAGCGAATTCTTCAAACTGCAAGTTATTCCACATATGTCTTAATCAGCTTTATACAGGTAGTCTTACTGTGTGTTTCTGTGTATTTTTTCCCCTCTGCATCTTTTATGAGTCTGCAGAAAGGGTATTGAGATGAATGTTGCAGAGACAGGACCGTTGCCTTTTTGTTGCATAATGTTAACCTGTGCTTATCAATGAGACATTTCCGTTCAAATTAGTCATTAGGCATGTGTAAACAGATTAATAAAGTGTTAGGGCCTTTCTTGATTTTTGCTTTTCCTTCTCCTCAGTATGACTGCTTTGTCAACAAGCTGGCACAGAGAACAGCTGTAATACAGCTAAATCATGGCAGAAGCTTTGTTGTAGAGTCCTGATGCAGTTTCATAATACCTAGCTGGGGTATTATTCCCACTGTGTGGACTTGCATTGATGTACATGTTCTGACTTCTGCTTACCCTTCTACAACTTGAGCTGACCTGTCACAGCTATGCTGTCACTGCTAATAGTTTGTAATCTGTGTTTTTTAAACTGCAGTGTGGATATACCAGGTCTTGATGCATTCACATTATGGACTAACAATATAATGGAAGGGAGACTGCACAGCTCTTTCAGTAACAGATACAATTTCTGGTCATGGGTGTTCATGGGAAGCATTCACCTAAAATCATAGTCGAGTTCCCCTATAAGAATGAAAACAGGAGTAGTCAGTTCCCTTGACTGAAAAAAAACCAAGGCAGGTTGCAATATAATCCTGAAAATTTCATTTACAGGTAAAGTTTTGTTTTCACTGATCATTACTTAGCAGTGACCAGATAAGATACATGGTGGTTGAAACCTTTCAGCATCTGGAGATTGCTTCCTTTACCTATTCAGAACCAGACCTTCATTATGATATATAACTAATACCTGTTGTCTTGCAATTGTTTGTTGAGAGTCTTTCAATGTACAGGGGAAAAAAAAATCTGCATTTAATTTCAGTCCAAGGCCTTTCCCTCAAACTTGGAGCACTATCTGCAGGGTGTTGAAATGAGTAAGCTGTCAACTGTGTGCCTCCATGGGGACCTGGAAGGCACTGGAGTTGCTACTTCTATCTGAGAGCAGGCTTCATCTGACTCTGAAGTCAAGCAAAGTAACAGCCTGGCTAGTTGCTGCTTCTTTTCCCAAGTCAAGCTCTTATGGCAAGCCTGGATTCTCAGGATGACTCTGTTCTATTCTTCAAGTTACAGGGATTCAGGAGGAGGCTGCTCTTTTCTTCCCTCTGGTAAAGGTATTATGTTGGAGGAGCTGTCCCAGGGTTTGTCTTGCAAGTGCCAGCTGCATGTGTTTTGATCAGTGAGGTTCAGTAGTAACCTGTTCAGTTCTGAACTGGAGCAGAAGCTGAGTAGCCTGTTCAATTCTGAACTGGAGCAGAAGCTGTGTAGCAGCTTTCTGTTCTCAAGCAAAAAGTTAAACAGCAGGCAAATTTGTGTGACAAGCAGTTGAGACAAATACTTACCAGAACACTTCCAACCAAATGTACAAACAAACCAACCAAATGTAGTTGGTTTGACTTGCAAAAGCTTAAATCATATGGCTGCTGATGGAAGTAGAGGTAGCATCTAAGAATCCACCTCTCAAGCCATTTGCAAAGTACAAAGACCTGAAACCTTGCCTTTCTTGTCTCACTGGCCTTGTTTTATTGTGGTTGGTACTAGAATTGTGCCTGCCAAATCTCTGAGGACGTGAAGGGCACTTGTACAGGTAACTAGAAAGCAGCACGGCCCAGGCTTTAGGTACCGTGGTAACTGGCAGATACTCAGGGTGCAGATGTGGGTTTGGATGCAGTCTGAACATCTGCCATATCCTTGCTAAGTGCACATTTAATGACTTGAAATGAAAACATCTTGCAGTACTGTCCTTTTTGAGTTGCTTAGGGTGCATGTGTAGAGACTCTGTAAACCAGGTAAATGTGGCTTAAAAGTATAAAGCAATTATTTTTGGCAGGCGTTTACACAATAAATTGCTAGAATGTCGTGACCTACCAGCCTAAATGTGCCTGTGCTTCAGTGAGACATTTTACTGGCCAGGCAGGCATCAGCCAGGAGGAGAGAACCTGTTATCTGCTACTCCCTGGAATGAATGTCAATGCCCATTGGAGCCACTGCTTTTTTTCCATCAGGATGTCACAGCTTTCCACTCTGATATTTTTTTTTTCTTTTGAGCATTTGAGCTACTAGTGGTGATACTTTTAAATTTCAGTTTTCTTGTCTTGCACTTCCTTTCCAAGCACTGTAGCTTTCCTTGCAGTGCTCTCCAGTTACCTGTTTCCAAAGCGTGTGAGTCAAGGATATACAGGTGCACCCTATTGCAACTGGGCTGTGAGTCCTTGAAACAGCTGAACCTCTTTGAGAGGTGTGAAGGAGGAGCAAGGTGACAAGAGAGACGGTAACACAACTTTTCTGGAAAATGTGGCTGACCTCTAGTTGTAAAAAACAGGTCTGCAGTGGGGGATTTTCAAAAGCACTATATCTGTCTGTTAAATATGGTGGTGTTTTCCTTCATAGTAGGAGAACATTAAAGCTTCCCTCCATGACAGCCGAGTTTAATGACATTCTTCTACAATAAAATGGTAACTCAACATCTCTTGGAACCCCAAATGCTGAAGCAGCACTTTTGGTGTGTGGAATGAAGGAAGGTGTCTGATGTGTAATCAGAAAGATGTTTCTTTTTAATATCTTTTGATAGCTGGTGAACTCCCATACAAGCTTATTGAGAACATGGAAGTGTTTAGATAAACGAGAGCTTTTCATTGGTGTCACACAAATACTTCTGTCCTCTCACTTATTTTCTTTATTAAACCAAGCTGTCTAGATGAACAGAATCTTTTAGAGTTGTAGTTTTTACAGTCTTAGTTTCAAAACTTTTACACACTGATTGTTGTTGGTTTAACATTGGCTCTGATCCTTGCTTCTCTTGTACTCTTAATTTTCTGTAACTCTCCTGAAATCTCTATTATGAACCAATAGTGCTTGTAAATTCTAGATAGAATGAATAGATTTAGTGGAATTACTGATGAACTTTGGTGAGCAGTATGTGATTGTTGGTGTAGGGGATATTAGAAATAGTCAAGGAAGCAGTACTAATACTGCTAAGAAGCAGCTCAGGGTGTTTGTTATGTTCTGCTACTCTTTGTTTTGGTAGAGAACAACACAATGAGAATCTGAAGTAGAATATGGGGTGATATAAGCAGGAAAGAAAAGCTTGAGCAAATTGTTGCTGAATATATTGGAAAGAACCCATGTGAGGAACAGATGATATGGTTTGATTTGAACCAGATTTCTCCAAAGAAAATTGAAGTGCTTTAAGAAATCGATAGAATTTGGAGTCTGCCAAGGACCTTAAGGCCTAGGGTCTGGTATGCTTCAAGCTCATCGGCTTAGTTGGCTGTAATATGTGGTGTGTGGGTAGGAGCTCCATTTGTTGTTGGCTGTTCATAGCACTGTTTGGGAAATGTGGCTCACTGTTCTCCTGCTGCAGCTCAGCTGTTCAGAGTCTGGAATTCCTAAGCCATTTTTATCAAGTATTTGTCTAACCTGCTATTAAAAAATTGTCATGGTGAAAGATCTGCAGTCTGCATAGTTAGGTTTTCCTAATTTAGCTTTATTTGCCCATTTATTTTTCCCCCAAGTACTGTACTAATTTGCTTCTGTTATAATTCAAGCCAGTGGTGTAAAATTCTGTACCAGCCAAGTATGTACCCCATGAGAGATGTATTATTGCTGCCTTTTCCTTCAGAAAAGTCTCTAGCATATGAAGACATTCTAGGCATTTTTTCCTGTCTCTAATTACTTACATCCTGAAATTCTCCCCAACTGGTGTCTTACACTGGTATACAGATGCTGCAGAGCACTTGGTTTGTGCAGGAGTTGAACTGCTTTCTTAGTGAAGAAAATGTACAAGGTAAACTGTAGTTTAAGTATAAGAATGAAATAAAGACTACTTAAATATGGAAGGTTGGTCTGCTCAGACCAAAGAGTTCATATTCAGCAGGCCAAGTGTCCCCAGTCCATAAAATTTCACATTTAAATTGAATAAATTCCTTTTGGTTGTGGTTTCTTATTAAAAAGAGAATGTTTTAATTGGTAAGCCACCTCATCCTCATGTTAAAAGACAGAGACCTCTTGCTTTTGGCAAAAGCATGAAACACATATGAGCTAACAAAGTATTTTATGTCTAGACTTTGTCTTTAATTTATAGAACTGCAGCTGAACTGAACCTGAATCCATTGAAGCTTTGAATAGATGAGCAAAATTACAGATATTTTAGGATCCTCAGTTATTA